CGCTGGGGCAAAGCCGGCTCCTGGTAGCCACGCACCTTGCCTCCCCAACAGCAGCCCGAGGCAGCGGCGTCTTCCCGTGGCTTAAGCCTGTCCCCAACTCCACGAGCCATTCGGGCACGTGCTCGGGACCTCTCGATTTCAGGGGCGTTTGTGCCCGTCCGGGTCGGGGCCAGGTTGCAGATGCTTTTATCAAAGCAGAGCCACGGTCAGGCACGCCAGCGAGCTCCCTGCGGACCCTCCATCGCAGGGCTGGCGCAGGAGCGGGGCTGAGGGTCACCCAGGCACGTCCCCAGCCATCGCAGGGCTGCGCAGGGACTGAGCTCTGACCTTCCCCTCTTCCCCTTTACTTTTTACGTTTTCACGGACAACCAAAGGAGGGAAAGGGGAGGGAGGGAGGGACGGACGGACGGCGTACGCTGCTCCCCAGCAATCTCTGCATCACCGTGCAAAGCGCATGGGCACGTCGGCGCACTCTGCAAAAGGTTACACGTCAATAGGCACTCAAAGGCTTCAACCTCTGGTGGGGTGAAGTGTAATTTAATTAACTTCTGCTTGACTGTTCAAATGCTGGAATGATTTAGAAGTCTGCATGTGGGTTGCTGGGTGTCCTGTCCTGCTTGCCTGCTCCCTCCCTCGCCCCCGGGGTTTCCTTCGGCACAGAGCGCTTGGGCTTGAAGCTGTCGCTTGTGGTCACGGTGGCAACAATGAGGCCATGGATCGATAAGCTAATTCTCCCATTTGCAGCCAGTGGACATGGATCTAAGCATCTGCGTTTGCTGAGGAGTTTAAAAGTTGGCTAAATATGGCAGACCTGCTCTTGTGGAGAAGGAAGCAACAGGCGTTCGATGTGGAATTGGACTCTGGTGAACACAAACGTCAATTTTAATTAGCAAGCTTCTACAGTTTCCCAACTAAACCAAAATAAACTGGGAGAGGGAGGGTGCTGCAGGGGCGGGCTGCAGCCCAGCCCCTCTCCTGGGCCTCGGGGTTGCTTTGGGAGCCCAGCACCCCGTCCCTGTGCCGGGGTGGGGGTTCCCATGCGGTTCTGCCAGCACAAGCGAGCCTATGGGTGCCCTCCCAGCACCCACGTCTACGACCCGGCTCGTGCTCGGCACTCCCTTGGATGCGGCTCCGCTACAGCACTCCTCAGCTGTCACATATATCTTTTAATCTGTCGAGGAGTCATTTATTTACGCCTCCAGGCCTAACACAGTGGCTACCATGGGGACGCTGAAGTTTGAAAAGCCCTATCATAGATCTGTTGTAGCTCAGAGGGAAGGGAAAAAGCTTTTCCTCTACCTGCTTCAAAATGACTATCAATGTTTTCTTCTCAGAGATGATGACTCGCAGGGGGCCGGCAATTGATGAGCTGATGGTTGACCTGATTGATGGTGACCTCCACCGCCTGCTGCTTCCCGAGCCCGCCGCGCCGCGGTTTGGTGGGGGAGCAGCAGCCTCCTCCCTCGCCGCGGTCGTGGCTGACAGCCGAGCCCAGGAACCGTCCCTGGCCCCCACACAGGAGGTCCTGGGTACCAACCCTACCAACCGCCCAAGGCGCCTCCTGGCAGCACCCTCGGTTGCTGCCGCGCGTGGGGCGAGGGTGGGAGGAAGGCTGCCCAGCTCCGGCCCCACAGCCCGGCCAGTGCCCCCCGGGCGGTGCTGCTGCCTCGTGACAGCGCCTTCTGAAGGCAGAGGGCGGGGGGGAGAAAAAAATAATAATAATAAAAAAAAAGAGCAGCACAGAGCCATACATCTAAATCTTTTCGTTGATGACTTATATTCCTAACTTAGACAAGTCCTTATATAACTGAAATTAAGTTCCAGCTGTATTAAATCTTGGGCGAGTTAGGCCTGCAGTGATCGTGTTCCCGTGAAGATGAATGAGAGCCCCATGCGCCCCCAAGGTGTGAGCACCCCGGGGCCCCTCTGCTTTCCGGCAGAGCCAGCGCTGGCATCACGGCGGCCGGCGCAGAGCCTGGCCGGGCTGCGATTTTTCAGGTCAGCAATGCTCAGAAGGGGGTGAAGAGCAAAGCTGAAACCTCTTCTGCAGCACCGATGCCTAAAGTGCCTCAAAACTGGAGCGGCCGCACTCATTTTGTACACGTTTTGTAAGGCTGGCTGGCTGCTGAAATGCCCCCGGGCAGCGCAGCTGGAGTTTCACCAATGCGTATTGCAAAATGCTTTCTCTTTTTCCTGAAGAGCGTTTTTGGGTGCAAAGGAAGCCTTCGGCCTCCCTGCAGCAGAGCCCGTTGCTCTGCCCCGTTGGCTCAGCACTGGGCGGCCGAGCAGGATCCAGGTCCCACTGCAGCCAGGGGCCCAATCCTGGACCACGTGGGTGCATTCAGGGTCCAAACAGATGGTCTTATTTGCCTAAATCAATATTCTTTTTTTTTTTTTTTTTTGTCCTAGGCAGGCTAACAGAATCCGCAATGAAAGGAAAGAGATCATTTGGGAAGGCAATTACACAAAGACAAACGCGGTTTTAAGAAAACACGGAACGTTTGGAGCAGCGAGCCTGGCAATTCCGAGGTTTCCGGCCGCGTGTCTCTCTGTGCTCTGATGCTGCGAGTTGCTCCGTGCCCTGCTGGCGGGCCAGCAAAATCTGTGCCCCGCGCCCCGCTGCGCTGCAGAGCTGGGCGTGCTCGCGGGGGGCTCGCCGGGCAGGGGGTGAAACGCTCTGCACCTCGCAGCGCCCGACCCCTCCTCCTCTCAAAGCAGCACCGCTGTTTTCCCGATAGATCTGTTTCTGCGGGATACCAGGCGTCACGTTTTTCAGGAATCTCGTGTTTCTCAGTGCAGGTTAAACCAGCAGATGTAAAAGGCACCGTCTGAAGGCTCGGTTCTGCCGTTCTTGGGCGCTCTCCAGGGAGCCAAAGCCAGGCGCTGCCGGGGATGGTTTAAGGCACGACCTTCCCTGGGTAAAAGCAAAGCCCAGACACGGGATTTGCCTCTCATGAAGGTTTCTCTTCCTGAGCCGTTGCTCGCGGGCTGCACCCCTGTGTCCCCGGCACCCCTGTGTCCCCGCATCCCTGCCACGTCTTGCACCCACTCACAGCCGCCTGGTCAGGACAAGCTTACGGATCAGCCCAGTTCTGAGGGGATTTTGATTTTAGCTCCTCAGAGGAAGTCCTGGTGAGTTTGAAAAGGAGAAAATCAGTCTTGGCTTAGAAGGTGATTTTTTTTTCAGTGCCGACAGACATCTACAGACCCAGAAAGGCCTCTGCATGACCGAGGAGAACCCTTGCACGGGCAGCGTGCCTGTCGGCAGCGTGCCAGATGTGTAACCGCGTGTGCCAGATGTGTAACCACTGGTGGGCATAGGGATTTGCATTCATTGCTTGGAAAGGTCTGGTTCAGTGGGTTCCTGGGGCTTTCTGGGCAGGGACCCCCAGACAGCATCCTTGGAAGGGTGAATAACCAAGAACTGGCTTAGGGAGGCTGGAAGAGGGGAAGAGCTCTTTCTCTGAAATAAGAGCCTGGTGGCTGCGGCGCAGGGGAGCATTCGGTGGTGTTTTGGGCGGGGGGGGGAGGTGACCCAGAGCTGCTTGGTGGCTGCCTGGGGGATCCAGCAAGGTGCTGCACCGAGCCTATGCCGGCTGCCGAAGGGTGGATGTGCAGGACAGCACGGCTGCTCCCGCCGGGGTGCTCGCCGAGGGCTGGGCTTCAGGGGGGCTGTGGGCCAGCAGGAGCCCCGGCCGGGGGGGTGAAGCAGCAGCGGTCGGAGCCCGGGAGCGACGGGCTGGGCTGGAGGAAGGCTGAGCGCTGGGTAGAGCCACTGCAAGCTTCCGTAGCTGACGCTCTTGATGCTCTTTTTAATACATATATTAAAAGGGTGATAATAAGCAAATCCGTCAGTTATGCAAATGAGTGGCAATTGCATCTTGAAGAGCATCCCACAGTTTAATTACATCGTAATTGCAATGTAACACTTTAATTACCATATGCCTCACAAAATCATGAGCACTGTTTCTAATCTCTTCACTAATATTTCAAATCAAACAGATTGCCCAGGGCCTCGGTATTGCACCGCAACACTGCGACCAAAAAATACCGACCGCATCCTGACGCAGCAGCGACCCCGAGGTCTGGAGGTCGGGACGCTGTTCTCGGCGTCCCCGCGCGGCCGTGCTCCTAGCAGAAGGCTGGCTGAGCATCCTTGGCCGGCGTCTCGAGCCCCAGCCAGCCGTCGGGGATTTGCAGGAGATGGCGCTGCGGCCGCCGGCCGGGCTGCGAGCTGAGCAAGGGCAACCCCGAGCGCCGGCGGGAGCTGTCGCGCTTATGGTGGTAGGGGCGAGGTGGTCACGCCAGTCGCAAAAGCCGAATTTACTCAGAGATGCTGCAAAATGTTCGCTGGAGCAGAGGGAGCTGTTTCACTGGGCCGGCCCCGGACCTGCTCGGTCTCCATCCCTGCCTGGGCTGGGGACGCCCGCAGCAGCCGGGCGAGGTGGCTGCTCAGGTAATGGGATGAAGATTTGTAAATGGCTGTTTGGGAAGAAGCAGTTTGATGAAAACGCTGCCCTTGGTCCTCCCGTCCCCTCCCAGCACAGGAAAACGAATTTCACATTCTCCTTCTCACCCCTGCGAGGGAAACAATAACGCTTTCTGGAGCACAGCCTTGGCTGGAGACCTGTGAATTTGATTTAAACCAGATTATTTTGTAAATCTTCCCAGTTTGCCTGCTCTATTTTTCCTCCCATCCAGCTTCTTTCTTTCCCCCACAAAAGGACATCTAATAAGTGACTTAAGAACAATAACGGGTGGGCTTAACGATGGCCTGAAATTCATGGCTGGGGACTCGGAGAGGGCTGCTGTCAAGCAGCGATGTGCGCGATGGAGTGACGGATGGGGGGAGAGGCGTGCTGGGGAGGTGACAGCACTCCCGTCCCTGCACAGCGCCTGTGCTGCCACCGGGAAGGGGCTCGGGGCTCCCATCAGGTCCCGTGCCCGGTTCCCCCACTCCCTGGGGAGCAGCAGGGCCGGCTGGCAGAGGAGCGGGGCCAGGGCTTCTCCTCACCGGTGCTTCTGCTACAGGTTGCAGATTGCTGGTTTGCTTTGCCGTGAGCCGGCAGTGATTTAGAATCATCCTGTGCTAATCCATATAAATGCTTTTAATCGTGGATTTAATCTTTTAAGCACGTGGTAATTAAATTACATGCCAGTCAGGGGCACATCAACATAATGTGCGAGGTTTGCAGCCCCATGGGCAGTGGGTGAGAGCTTCGGGACAGGCAGCCCCGTGGCCGGGACGTTCGGTCGCTTGCTTCCTCTGCTGTTTCCTTGTCGTTATTTCTTCCTCTTCTCTTTTTCCCAACCCCTCGGAGTTCCTGGGAGGGGATCTGCTTCTAGGAAGTCGAAGGCAGGGTATCACCTCAGCCGAGCAGGCTGAGGAACATCCCAGGAGAAGACGGTTGCTCTTGAGCCATCCCCAAAACCTTCCTAGATCCCTCGGGAGCCGCGCTGCTCCATCGGCATCCCCCCTGCAGGAGCACGGGCTGGCTGAGCCCCGGCGGTGGAGGCTCAGCGCCCGCTCTCTGTGTTTGCAGATGCCAGGAGGAGGAAGAGAAGAAACAGGGGAGGAGAAGATGAAGCCCCAGCAGGGGCTAACGGCTGGGACAGGGCCTGGAGCACTCCTCCATGTGCTGGGATACCCTCGGAGAGCGGGAGGAGACCGGGACCAGAGAGCTCCCGAGCTCCCTGTGCGATTTGTGAGTATTTATTCCTCTCCTTCGCTCTGCCGCCGTTGCCCTCGCTCGCCCAGCCGGACGGCGCGGGACGCTTCGATGGGCTGGGGCCAATGGAGGGAACTGCGGTGAGACGAGAAGCACTTGAGCAGGTTAAACTTTGTGGTGGGGAGGGGAAAGGAGAGAGGAGGCGGAGAGACGACTGGCTTTGGGAATGGGACAATTACTGTGCTTAATATTTTTTTTAACATTAAGAGCCAAATAGGAGGATATATTTAATTCATTAAAACAGCCTGAAGTAGCTCCCGCCATCCCAGTGCCGTTAATCGGTGCTCTATAGAGAAGTATCAGGAAATAAGTGTCTCCTAATGAAGGGGGCCCTGTAAGGTCAGCCTGCCACTTGTTAGCTAATCGGAGACTTATTTGTTTTGCAAATTGCTCTCCCATTTTGAACCACTGTGCAGTAATTTCCATGGCGGGGAAGCAGGAGGGAGTTCACGGGGGTGGTTCTGAAGCCCTCAATCTGTCACTGGGAGGAGGATAAAAATAGCCTGGGCGAGCGAAGGAGCAGCCTGCCGGCTTTGTCCCGGGCGATCCAGCCCCGTCGAACGCAGCCAGGGATGTCGGGAACGAGGGGTGGCCGTACGGTGTGGTGGGCAGCGGCACCACCCCACGTGTGCCGGGGGACCGGGACGTGTGTGTGTGCGACACCGGCGACCCCTCGCCGTGCTGGGCACCGGGCACCGCTCTCCTGCCCTGCTCTTCCCAGCTCGGCCAGCGGCCTCCCGCGGGGCTCCCCGGCCCCCCG